TCGGATGGGTGGCCCCCCCCCCCAACTACATTTTCACCTCATTAAGGATACCCACGCTTATCTCGATGTAGCGTTGCCCGAATTTCTTCCAGCTTCTTTGTTTAAAGGAGCTTCTCGTGGAGTGGGAATAATGTGTCTTTTACATTTGCTTTTCTGTGTAGGATTCCTATTCATTAGATAATTTTCTTCAATTCAAACTGCTTACTCCAGATGTATATGAGGTTTTAGAATGAGTTGCTCTCACTGGGAACTCTGGTAATGTCCTTCCCAGGTACTGGAAATGATATTTTCGAAATCACATAGTTTATTGATCTTTGCGCTTTCATTACAGCAGCTGAAGCTTTTCGGCATGAGTGCCACTCCCATATTTGTGTAATTTCATGGATTTTGATAAGTGACCATCATCTCTGTTGTTATCAGACGGAATGACGTATCTGATCACTCCACAATTGTTTTGCATTTGCCGAACAACAAAGAGATGAAGAGAACATGACGAGCAGAGCGGAAATCTTATCGCCGTGGACTGGGTTTCTCGGAGATACTGTCCTCGTAACTGCCCTTGACCTTCTAGAGTATAACATATTGACTAATTATTTCTTTCTTAGCGTCAAAACCACAGACAGCATCGGAGACAGCAAGCAGTTGACCCATATAGCAGTGGAGAAAGGATTTTCCCATCATATGGAATCAATCAGCCTATCGAGAAATTCGGTATAGTTCCACACCATATGGTGGGTCTTCCTACAACATTACAATTTGGCATACTCGGCAAAGTTGATTACCATTACACTTCAGTGCCCTCATGACAGACACAATGATCGCCGAACTTTTCTTTGTTCTCGTTTTGCATTTCTTGAGTGAGGTCATTTGCCAGATGCAACTCCTCCGCATTTCCCACATTATGCTGCATGGAAACTATTTTAGTTTGGAGAATGTCCAAAAATCGTAGCAGTCACTTAGCCAGCAGGAAATAGTTACATAGCCACAAGATAGCAGAAAAAATTGAAAAATTTTCTCCACTTTCACTTCGCTGTACTCTCTCCTTTCGAATTGAGACCTCTTTGAAAATTTTAAGGTAAAACGGATATGAAACAGTGGTAAGGATTCAGTCCGCACAGATCTAAAGAGAAAAATTTTCACTGTCAAACAGCCATTCAGAAGGATCCCCTTTCAAGGCAAAGTTTTCAGTTTGCCCTACATTTTTCTTTTGTCTTTGTGCACCTGTAATGTTTGGGAAGAAATTTGGATCTTAATCATTGTTGGGAAGGGAAGTGGGGAGGGGTTCATCAGTAACATTTTGCAGCATAGGAAGTATTCAGACAAGAGATGAGGCATTTTTTTAGTTGTTTGAGGGTGAACAAGGACAGGTAGACCCGCTACGATGATGACCGGTCCGAAAAAGTTACCACTGCACAGTGTAAGCCAAAAAGATGTCAGGACTGCCGTTGGCTTGAAACTAGACATACTCGTGAAGCTACGGGAAGAATAGCTCTTTTTGTGCCCCTTCGTGAGAAAAAACTTCCTGGACCAAGTTTACAAGCAACTACATAGGAGGGAGACGTATTCATTAACTTGGGAAACTGAGGAATAACTGCATCCTCTCAAGATTCAATCAATGAAGGGTGAGACGTTGAAGCTTTGTTTTGATGATCTATCGATGCCACATATGAAATACACCTTTGATTCCAGACTAAATGGACGAGTAACGCCCCATGCATATACTTCAATGATTCCACGATCTGGGATTGATATCAGTCATCGGGAAAAGTAATTCGTTGCAGAAAACTACATATCTTTATGTGGGTGCATCTCCAGTCGAGCATGGTAATGGCCCCGAAAATGTCAAGGTTCTCGAAACACTATGTTATGCACGTCTTTCGTTGGCAAATTCGGGTCATATCAGCCGTGAAATCGGCGAGAGCACAGGTCGTCTGTGGTCGTTTACTGTCGTCTGTTGGTATTTACCATGCTGCCTTATTCACCAGGGCCAAGTACGGGGGCTATCACTAGTTAGATTTGCATCAGTCAGCACAGTACATGTCGTGCTTTATCTCCAAAACAGCGTCTATCTGGATTTTTGAATTTTTAGTCGAATTCGCAATACAATGAACGGTTCTGAACAGGAACTACCGTACCCACTACAGTGAGAGAGTAGGGAACTGATTTCATTGAACAAGCACTGTTAAACAGATTAATCATCAGGGAAATAAAGTAAAATATGTGAAGCAAGCCGGATGTTCACACTACGCATGAAGCGCTATCTGATAGGCTGGAGGTAAGCAAACCAGCCCGTTTGGCCTTTCTGCTGGATGCATTTGCTTATTCTGCGATTCTGATTAAGAGTCTCATAATCCCACTCAGGGAAAGTACGTTTGGAGTCGGTTCTAAATCCCAGGTGGGAGTTCTTTATACGGTTACATAGGGCTGCCGTGCAACTGTGACAGCTGGTATGCTTTAAAAGTTGATTCATATATTCGCCCAATGTCTTCCACATATAAAAAGGGAAGTGTTTTCCACCTGGGATTTAGAAGCGACTCCCCACGTACCTTTCCTGTGTGGGATTATGAGACCCTTAAAAATAAGCAAATGCATCCAGCAGAAAGGCCAAACGGGCTGGTTTGCCTACCTCGATAGGCGGCATCAACCTCTGACTTCGTTTCATTTAAATAAGTCATGGCAATTCAGATGAGAACGTTCTCTAAATATTGAGTACAATACAAAAAAATCTCTTCTTCAACAGGGTTCAAGCCTACTTCGTAACTGCTGTGTAGCGCGAACCTCACCAGTCGACAACCGTCGTTCCCTGTTCTCTACAGCTGAACTCCGTCCCAAAGTATGCCCTCGACCAATCGGAGAAGAATTTTTGCCGCTGATTTGCAATGAGCATTCAAGATCATCTAATTGTATGATTTCCCATTCCACGACCTTATCTTCATCCCTTCGAAAATTTGGAACGTCTTGAAGGATGGAATGCATAGGGTGAGGGAGGAGAATCTATCCGGAACTGGACATGCGGAGAATATTTGTGATAATAAGCCATTCGGCACTGTACTATGTACTTCCTGTCTTTTAATATGTAGTCTTAAATTCTTTTGACATTAATCAATCCCGTCTGAGGGATGCGCCCCGCACGCGGCTTCATTCAAGTTCGTATGTAGTAGTGTACTGAATGCGTATGTAGCCTATACGAGGACTTGTGCAGGCTGGCCGATGTACAACTCAAGGCTTTTATGATCCCAGACGAGTCTGGTGCCAATTAACTAACCCCGGAGAGATGGAAGGCTTGGCTATCGTCAGCGGGTATCGCATGCTCACAGGCTCGATTTGAGAATCGAACCTGTGGCAACGTGTGTTGGGTAGTGCGCCACTTGCCACTACACTACCTCTGCAGTGTCTTTTAATGTTAGCCATTTCATTTATTGGTGCACACTTAGATGCGCTAGCTACAACTTCATTTTTTATACAAATCAATTTTCGATTTCGTTGTGGAAGCTCTCGTATTCTTCAAACTCTTTGATAACTGAAGTTGTCTTCTGCGTATGGTCTGACATGTAAAATCGATTGTGGCAAATTGAGAGTTTTCTGAACTCTTGCGCTGTCGGGCATTTTCAGCGCAAAGGTCGGTCAACAAAGGGCGCAAAGACCCTTGTGTGTTGGTGTTTGATTGCCTTGTATGGTTCGCATCGCACATTTTTCTCTTCACTGAAAGCGTTGAAGGTCAAGTCTTCCCCGCATTGTTGGAAAGCGCATGACATGATCGACGCATAACTGCACTATCTATGAGAAAATGTGATGATGCTTATAGTAGAAATGCAATGACAATGGTTCTGGGGGACACTGGGAAAACTCGAAAAAAAAAGAAGAGTTCAATACCGAATTCCAGGAACTTCTATCGGAGTACTGTGGTACGAAGGCAAAGGAAATAGTGGAGACGATGAGTTTCTGTGGTATGGAAGCAAAGGAAGGAATGGAGATGATTATTACTATAAGAGTGATGTATCATCACCAACACAAAGAAATTCATTAAAAGGTTGAAGGCTGTTGCCTCATTTCGCAAACAAGATGATGATGTAGAGGATAAAGGTACATATTGACAAAGTCTATTAGAAAATAAACAACACCGACTTACAATTTGAGTTTTTTTCAGTCTAGACAATGAGTGTAGTTGAAATTGCCAACTTGACTTACACTTAAGATTGACCCCTCGATTTACATGTCATTTTATACTTTTGGGGTGGGGAAGGTGTAAAAATAGGAGGCACACACTATACAAGTTAGGTACAGGCAAATCCCTAATCAATCCCTCGAATCCCTAACCAATATGTACCTCCCCAACCTAAGAAGCCTTCCATCCTTCCGAGGCTCAGATTGGAAGCACTGCCTTCTACATCCTCCGGCTGGCCATCGTATAGTGATTTCGAATGGAAATCGAATACGGAACGCATACCAAAGAGGGATTGAAGCGAGCTTCATGCTTTCACCCTAGGTTTTATTCTGCTGGACAGATATCGTGTTATGTAGCTCACTCCTAACTCATGTTCAGGGATGAAAAGCTGACTACAGACAAGATCCGATGAAAGAATTCCACCAACGAGGGGCCCTAACACTATTTCCTACTTTCTTACCTCCATGCACATTCTTTGTTTTGCCATACTTATAGCGTTGAGGAAGTGTAATCTCCCGATCAGCTCCCAGATCAGTCAGAACCCATCGATGAATTTTTTTGTAAACATTTCGCAGCCTTCACTGAGATTTGAAAAAATAGACGAAGGAATAACTGGACAAGAATGCCTTCAGGGTCTTGATCCCAACAGTTTTCTGAGAGATATCTATCAATTCAGGGATTCATGGACTCTCGAAACGCCACCACTTCCTTTACCTCCGCCCCATATCCGGTACTCCAGGGATTCAAAAGAAGGGCACTTCGCTGACTAATTTACCTGATGAACAACAATTTCGAAGTCCTAACGTCTCCAACTTCTCTCTTGTTTTAACCTCGGCATAACGGTTTACTAATGGTAATCGAGTGGTCCTGATAATATTTGCTGCGGGCTTGCGAGGGCCTCAGGTAGGACAATCTACTGATTTCTGGAAAATAAATAAAATAACCAACAAAATAATCATCGTGAAAATCGATGCTCCCCTAAAGCTTCGCAAGTTACAAGAATTATGGCGAGCTTCTGAATCTTTTTTTTCGAAAAGTATGTTTCGTATAGGTTTTTCTAACATTCCCTCACACTGCGTTCCTCTTGAAGCATTTCCTACCGTAATCTTTGACAGTAACAGTCCAATAGCGAGGTAAAAACTTTTTATTGTTCCTATTGACTCACGTGGCAAACGTTTGGCTTCCAGTCAAACGAAAATCTTTCAGAAAAAGACAAAAGAAAAAAAAAAGAAATACGAAATAAAGCTTTGTGATGTGTGAAAAAATGCAATCGTAAAAAAAAAAACAAGAAATCGAAGGAAAGAATGAGGAAGCTACCTCCTCCCAGATTCTAACCCAGAAGGCTTTATTGTAGGGTTGGTTGATTATTATCTTTTGAACTATTGAAAGTATGGCGAGATTCGGGGCAAAAGAAAGCTACCCTTCGGTATGAAGTCAAAACGGAGGAGTAAGCGATCTAAAGGGCATTATACACAGCGAGATCACAAGTTCAACAAAAACAGAGCTTACAGAAGTAATCAGGAAAGCATGATTTGATTGATAGCAGCAAGAGAAGAGGCAAACGTCGATTCGCTATGTTCTGGAACTTTCTCGAAACCTCCATCTGCCATAATCTGATCGAGATCGTCACCATCACCGGAAACTTCGAGCACGACCAGAGTTGCTAAAATCATCCATATTTTAACAAACAATGATCCTTATCCAAAATCTCAGACTTTAGTCTGCGGAATGAGCCCCCGCATTCGACTCCCATTCAGAATCGTGAAGGCGTATAGGATATTAATGTGGCCTATACAATGAATTGTGGAGGCNAAGGTCCTTATCCAAAGTCTATGGACGTTAATCAGTTCTGTCTGCAGAATGAGCCCCCGCATTCGACTCCCATTCAGAATCGTGAAGGCGTATAGGATATTAATGTGGCCTATACAATGAATTGTGGAGGCCAGCCGATGTACAAGTCAGTAATTTTATCCTTCCAGACGAGTTTGGTAAAAAATAATCGACCACTGAGGGATATAATATTTGGTTGGTCTCAGCAAGAATTGATCCCGGCTGCGATCCTAGGACCATGATCCCATGATGTGTATTGGTGCATCATTTGCCAGCACATCACTTCGAATGAACCACCGCCTATTTTTTGTAGAAATGCTATTGTCATTAACCATGTGCCTTCAGAAAAAAAAATAGAAAAAGCAAAAAATGAAATGAATTTTCATTGATTTATGAAACAAAGGATTGGTTATTTTCGGCTCTCACAGTCAGTTCGGAACGTCATCTACAAGGACCAAAGAGTCGTAGTTAAAGCCCAATAGGAACTGTCCGAATTAATAAGTTCGTTTGGACAAGTACTGTATTTTTATATAGTCGTAAATGAA